CAGAAGTCAAAGTTTGCCAATTAGAATAATATGAAAACCTCTTGGTTCTCGGATTTACATGAATCGTCTATTCGCGCTACCGGTATCAACTCTTGCTCGTGACAAATGACCAGAATGGAATAACGCCAACTTTGCACTCCGCGATTAAGATTGTCGAGCATGCCTAGGATTCTGAATAATCGCCAGCATACATTATGCATGGATACGAGTGGAAAAACTTCGATTCGGATTCAGATCGGGTCTAGATACGATCAAAATAAATGAACTTTTGTTTATTCTTCGTATTAAGACGAGCGCGGTTAAAATGCTGGCTTGCAGATTAAGAAAATTATACGCGACGTTCGTGTGCCCACAACGTGTTTATTACATATGCAAATTGGTTACCCCCGAGTTCCAATCGTAACATATTTTTCGAATGGAACGCGTTATCGTGTCAACTAATTACCATCTTTATAAATATTTATGTCGAAATAATATGCAAATTGTGAAAACGCTGTAATTATAACTGACATAATTCAGGGAAAAATCGCACCTAACATCATAACGGTATGTTAAAAAAACTATTACGGAAAAGCGCGTATCAACCTTAGATATTTATCCGCGTTTATAAGCGTTACGGTAGATAATACATCGTTACTTTCTCTTTTCTCTCTTATTATTATGTGTATTTTCCATAAATGCATCTTTTTTTCGTTTCTAAGAAACCCGTAAATGTTTATCAAACGTGAATCGCGCTAAAGGTTACCGAACATATTTCTTTCGCAAACGTGGCGCGCTTCTACCAACAATTTTCTTTCCTACGATACACAGTCGATAAGTAATTTTCACCTTAACACTAGATTTACCAGACCAGTCATTTTTACTGGTCTTGCAATTTCAATTCAAAATTCCTACTGCATGTAACATTTTCTTTCCAAAATGATGTCATGACTTCTGTAGCTATAACTACAGAATCAGTTTTATGAACTTTATATTATTTTTTTATATGTATTCGTAACACATATATTTTTTGTTATTGACACTTATACCAGTGTCAAAATGAGTGGTGCATGTTTCCATGTGATGAAATGACATTGGGCTACAACAATTTATAAGTACTGCAACATTTTTTCGGAATAGAATATATGATTCTGATGCATTACGTGTAGCGGCCCTTGGAATTGTACATTTACTCAGTAAAATTGTGTATTTACATTCGTTTCGACAAAAGAAATCAGAGGAGTCAACGTTTACAAAGAGACAAATTCGCTTTAATTTCAACAGTTTGGGATAAATTTATTGAAAATAGCCAAAATTGCTTCAAACCAGGAGCTTATAACACGGTGGATGAACAACTCTTTCCAACGAAAGGCCAGATGCAGGTTCACACAATACAGAGTGGTTCACGTAACTTGTGCAGCTCAATAACTTCCAAAATATGCGTTGCACTTATTTAGTAGTGCATTTATTTTTTTTTTTATACGTAGAGGTGTTGGGAGATTCTAAAGTCAACTTTGTTTTTTTAAATAGAATGCTATATTTTTTGTATGAAAATATGGAAGAATATCGAATTCTGAATAAAAAAGTATTAACCTTTACTAGCCCAAACCCTAATAGCTAACGAGTAATTTCACTTTATTTCTTGACAATTTTCTTCACGTAATGTCAAATTGGAGACTCAACTTTATTACAGATTTCTGTAGAACAGTGGAAACAATCAAGGAATAAAGTGAAATTACTCGTTAGCTGTTAGGTTTAGGGCTAATAAAGATCAATACTTTTGACTCAGAATTCGATGTTCTTCCAGATTTTCATATAAAAAATATAGCATTCTATTAAAAAAAAAAAAAAATTGACCGTCAAATCTCCGAAACGCCACCATCTATAAAAAAAAAGTAAATGCACTACATAATGTACCCCTATAAATCATGCAATTTTTGTACACAAAATTTTTTCGTACAAGGTATATTTTTGGAAGTTATAGAGTTGCACAAGTTACGTGGACCACCCTGTATATGCCAAACAAACCTCAGAAATTTAGCTGGCGCCTGACGTTAAAACTAAATATGTAATAAATGGATTTCCTTGTTTACGAAAAGATGAGGCTCGAGATTCATCATCCCCACTACATGAATATGTTGTACTGAAACTTGTAGAACCATGTACTTTGAAAGGTAAAACCATAACAACGGACAATTTCTTTACCAGTTTGCCTCTGGCGTTGAAATTATTATCTAAAAATACTTCTTTGCTTGGAACAATACGTGCAAACAGGAGGGAAATCGATGCTCACTTACAGTTTGCTGTACGAATCAAATCGATGTACACTTACAGTTTACAAGAGTAAACCGAATAAGAAAGTACTTGTACTAAGTACAAAACACAAACGCGTAAAAATTGGCAAAACTAACAAGAAATTACCCGAAACTGTGTCTTTTTATAATAACACAAAATTTGGCGTCGATGTCACTGACCAAATGGCACGAAAATATACTGTAAAATCAGGTTCCAGAAGGTGGCCACTTCAAGATTTTTTCATGTTTTAGATTTAGCTGGAATAAATTACTGGATATTGTATAAAAACACGACAGGCAAAAATATATCAAGGAAATACTTTTTGTTTCGTCTAGCTGAAGAACTTCTTCAAGGGGAAAACCACAAGAAGCTAATATACTAAGTTCAAGTAGTACCGCTTCTTTACGTAAACGGCGTCAAATAGGATATTGCAATAATAATAAGACCACAACTATTTGCAATATATGCGAAAAAAATGTACGCGAAAAGTGCACACAGAGCAAAATCAGCATATGTAAAAATTGTGACCAATGAACTACAAACAATTAAGCGTTCGATTGATTGATAATGTCAATAAATCTATTTATGTATTACAATTAATATTATTAATCTTTTTTGTCATTTTTTAAAAGTAAAAAAAGACTGAAAGCCCCACTGAGCACTTTTTCTAGAGACCAGTCATTCTGACTGGTTTTGGTAGGGATAGGTATACTTAAGGGGAGTTTCATGTGAGACCTAAAAAAAATCAATTTTTCTTTTATTTCATTTTTTGGAAGTATATATATTTAAGAATATACTGTTACATTTTGAAAGATAAATGTCAAGTATTGTTACTTTCTTACCTGGCGTAGATAAAATCTCAAAAACTATATACGTTCGATTGCTTTGAAATTTTTACACATTGTTCCACATACTAATAGTTCTCACCCGTACCAAAATCAAATTGTTATAACGAGTTGATGATATTTTTTTTATTAAAAAGTTGCGAGAGAAACGACGAAATTTTGCAATTTTTACTTTAAGCTTTCACCATTTTGTCAATTTGCAACATAAATTAATTATTTTGGTACGGGCGATAACTGTAAACCTACCGAATAAAAATCTTTCTATCAACCCTGAGAACTGCTTAAACAAATGTTTACTGCGGATGTGATAACAACATTAAAAGTTAATGAAAATTAATAAAAAAATTATTTCGTATTCCCAAAGGATAGCTAAGTAAACTGCACAAATGAATCATAACGTCAGATGTAACATTTCCTTAAAAAAAAGTGAAGAAATATGGTTCAATTTTCTATAATTCACTTGAGACTCCCCCTTTAATAGCTGGTAAATCTAGTGTTAAATAGGTACAGTAAAGTGACGACTAATCATTTCGGACCAATAATAATTAACCTGCATACGTTATATTTGTGTATCAAGATCTGTGGGCTCAGTCTGTAAGCCTACGATCTCTGTAGGCTCGATATAATCGACTCGATGCGCGTTTAAAGGACACGCTGGGACCCGATAGTCGACAATAATATTTGGAACGTTTTCTTTCAGCGCGATAGAGGCTCACCGTGAGCTCAAGCTTACCGTGGTCGGCCACCACGCGTCGTTACGTTCGAGTCGTGGGGCCCCTCGGGCGAAAAGCTCCAAACCGGTTCCCGAGCGTAAAGAATGACTGGGTAGCCGGTCACCGTGTATACGACTCGCCACGACTTTCTAAACTTCCGTCGCGCACGTACACGAACGTACACGTACGCTCGATCGTGCGCTTTATTTTTCATTTTTTTTTTTTCTTCTTTTCTCCTTCGACATGTCACGGTAGAAACGGTTCGGGAAGAATTTGCCTCGTTAAGCATTACTACGAGGAGCCGTCGTGCGCGTGCATACGTGGCTAAATGGCACGTTGCTACGGAAATATTCTATTTACCCCCGGAATACGATGCATCGTAGAGCACAAAGAAAAATGGAACTGTCGCCAAGCGAGTCGGAACACGCAAAATAAAATTTATCGACTCGGTAGATAAATCGATTAATCCAGAATTCACTTTTATCGATACGGACACAACCGTTGCCTTTTGCTCTTTCAACGTCACATTCGTTCCCTTGTTTGTTTACATCTTTGATAACATTCCAAGCATGCATTCCAAAGAGGACGCTATTGTATCGTAACAAACGCGTTGTTTGCACGAACTTTGTCGTACTCAAAAATTTATTCGTGTTGGATTTAAATCATTTCCACCGAGCACGTGCATCTGTTGTTTGATCGAACGAGTCGAGAATCGAGAAAACAAAAGGGAAAAATTCCGAAAGGAAAGTATATGAAATTGTCGGCGTTAGTTTTCTACGATGCACGCCAGAGGTTACATGCCACAGCGACGTTGGCGTCGTTGCCTGCACACGTGTATTTACTATTTACGACAAAGGGTATACCAGACGTACGAATGAGAATAAACCGACCGTTATTGTACTTCGTGCCAAACGCCGCGCAACTGTTACACGCTAGTAGCATTCTTAATTGCGGTAGACAACGGTACGTATTCACGACACTTCTTCCCTACCGTCTGACAGACAGTTAACGTTCGTACTCCGAAACAGTGATAGAAGACCCTGCATGGTTCTTAGGGTCTTCTATCGCTGGCACTTCGCGCCAACAACTCGACAATGGAGCCTTTTAAAAAAAATTAAAGACGCTGCTCCGAAATAGAAAAGTGACTCTTTCGAGTGGATAGACTTACCAAAACTGTAGACCGAATCGGCGCGGACGTGTGCTCAGCCAGAATCAACAATCCTCCTCGTGAAGATGCAACACACTCACAAATAAAATTCCCAGTGGGGTGTCTACCAGGAGCTCTTCCTGGTATAACCTACGCGACAAGAAACAAATCTTGTCAAGTAAACGAACGTTAACACAGAAAAGTAACACTGAAAACACCACCGAATATCCACTGTCCTGTTTATAGGACGTCCCACGTTATTACGGTTTCCCTTGCGATGGCCGCGTGGGCGCGAATCGCGGCACAAAACAAAAAAAAAGAAACGAGTTTCGTCGGCACGTAAAAGCCTCGGTAGCTTATCGCGAAAAGCTACATGCACAGGACGGAACGAAACAACACGCGCGCTGCTCGAGACGCAACTGCCGCCACTGCCGGTTCTATTTCCCGCTGTACCCCACTCCTTCACCCGCGATCCCCTCCGTTGTCCCACAGTCAACCGTTCTCCCCACTACGCTGTCCTTTCTGACCATTCTTCGGTCCCTTCTTCAGCCTTCGACGGTTCTTCGATACCTACGCCGTGTACAACAGTATGTGTTTCTATCGAACACTTTCTTCCATCGCTTGTTCATAAACAAATATTGCCGTAACGTGGAAATCTTTAATCGCGTGCCTTTCATTAACGACTTGTCTGTTAAAGAGCCGTGGCCGTGTCGCGAAAAAAAAGCGAACGGCAAATTCTTTTTTCCGTGGACTCTTTGTACTCCTTGCGCACGCGATTCTCTATACGTAGGCAGTTTTATTTACACTTATAAAGATAACTGCTTTCGCGATAATCATTTACCTCTACTACGATAAGATAATGTTTTTCTAACACCCACTTGCTCTTATTGATGCACGTGTCGAATAACAATACACATCCACGTGAGTTTTTAATTTCATACGTTTGAGACCGTAATTTCTTAGAACCTTTTTACGTTGAAAGAGATTCGTATTCGGTTTCGTATACAATATAAACAGAGGAACGTTCGAATATCTTTTTCTTCAAATTATATACCGCAATACGCTGGACGCCCACATGTGTGTGCAACGCATAGGCTCCCTAGTGGAGACCGCGGCGGCATGTGATACGGAGTACAATTGTTCAGCAGACTGCGTGACGCTATACGCCAAGGGCGTGGCAGAATGTCGAAGTTGCTGATAAAGTTAATTTAAAAACGTAATTCTTTATTTTTACAAAGATAGTTTCACGCGTTTATATCTGATGACGTAAAACGTTAAGTAATCATTAATGATTCCAATACCGGTAAACCGATGTCCGATAAATCTCGAAAAACAAAAATGAAATATAATCGTAATAACAAATGTCGCTCGCCTATAAACTACTAGTACATGTATTTTGTATTACGTAATTTTACATTTTATATTCAGAATTTTGATATATTATTTTTGCACCTGAGTGGCCAACGAGAAAGAAACTCTTTCCACAATCTTATTTTTTTTTTTATATTAAAACGATGCAAATGCAAATACAATTGCAAAAATTTAATGCATAATACATTTGCCCAATGCCTCAAAGGATTAAAGCAATATTATGAACATCAAAGAATCTACGTATAACAGCAATTTATTGCAATTTATCGCGAGGATGGGTACGCTTGGAAGGTAGCTTTTATTAAAATTTACCTTTCAATTTATATCCCATTATCAATGTTTATCAATATTCTGTTATACAAATTTATCCGAAAGCTAAATATAATTTGGGTCACAGAGGGTTAACGCTATGCGATCCGTGTCAATTTTCATAACCGTCCATTTTCCTAATTCGACTACACTTTGGTACAGTTAGAACGAATCATGCATCATCAAGTAGTTAGACAGAACCTATTTCCTGAATACTATGATTTGACACGGATTACAGACAGTAATCGTACGCGGAACAAATCTTGTTTTTATGAAAACGACTTTGCATATTTCGCGTGTCCACGGAAGAAATCATCGTCGTAGAAAATCGTGGACAGATTTTAATCCTTAATACGCGACCGGTGGCATAAAATTTTGCTTCATCCTCGAAGTAGCTTAGCGCGCTGCTTCGAGGTATAGTGCAGCCGTTAGTGCTCGAGCTGCCGCGTAACCTGTTCTCATTTTTATCGTCGGCATCAGGTTTCAGCGCAGGTGAGCTGCGAAGGTGCTGAGCCGAGTCCAGCGAACCAGCTCGTAGTTCTCGAGCATTTCCTTCTACTTCATCGTAGAAACGCATTGACCTTCGAGACAAGATATCTGCGATCAATGCGAACGTTGCTGTATTATCATTATTCGACAGCATAACCGGGATTATACGTCTACCCAACAGCCGCCGACGACTTAAACTAATTGCAAGAGCCAAGCGTTTTACCCTCTCTGAAACTTAAAACCACGCTTGGGGACGGTCCGCTCTCGTCAGCCAACACTAACCAAACGAAGTCTCAAGTATACGCGGCACCGAATATTCTTACCCCAGTATTTATATTCGTTAAACGTGCTCGAGGGACGTGTTTGACGAATTACTTTTTCGCACGAGCTCTTTTTCACGTTTGTTTGACAACGGCCATAGACCTGAATTTGACGAGCGTTTTTTATGCTGCGCGTCTGGCTCGCAAAGAGAAAATCAATGGTAAGAGACGATTGGTATAGAACAGTAAGGTGAATGTCAGAGTTGGGCTAATTTTGTTCACGAATAACTAACAAATATATTAAATTCGTTCGTAAGCTAGCTTTTTGCTACGCGCTGATAATTTTGTGACTCGCTAATTTTTATATAAAATTGATAATACATGTTTAATATTCTTATGAAGAAACACGAACGGACGTATACAAATTAATATTAATATCCGCGAGCACATCTTATACATATATTCTTGGCTTGATGTTGAACATGGGAATCGATTACTATTAGCCATTAGCCGAGAAACCCAAAGTTTTAGAGGTGGGGTTTTGAAACCACTCTTACGATAAATCTTGTTGGATGGTCAACCATCTAAAAGCACTAACCGTGACCAGGCGCAGCTTAAGTTCGGTGATCGGACAGGAACCGAGGATTTCAGCGTGGTACAGTCAATGGCAAAATTTTATGTCGCATTACAACAAAGGAGGAATGATATAAGAACGAATTGAGGATAATCGGATCGGATTACGAGTCAATTCACAGGACACGATTTGTTGTCATTTCTATAGAATTTTATTAACATTGTTATTTCAATAGCATTAATTACAGATACCAATTTGCAATGTAGGGTACTAACGAAACAAAAAAAAAAAAAATTATTTAAAAGATCAAGATCATGAGTATATAATGAATTTCAACTTTTAAAAAGAAATAAAAATGACAATGAGCGGCTGCATTATTTAAATACGATTTCTACGATTACGAACGTGTACGACAATCGATGACTTAAACAAGGGGAACGATGTTTCCTGCAAGAGTTGATTTATTCGAGAAATGGCATGCGATAATGTGAGATCCGGTGGTAAAAAAAGCTGCATTGGATAATGGTGAGCTAAAACGTGTAATTTACATAATAATTATACATTGTTTCGACGTCGCAAGATCAGTAAAGTACTTCGCAAATGCAGTACGCTCAAGTCAAGTGCGATCTGTGTATAAAACTAAAATAACCCTAATCGGACCAGCTATATTTTGGATTACGCGTTCTACATGATTTTTTATAAGAAATAACGTCATTTGTCTACGTACATCTTTACGCGCTAAATAAACGATAATTTCGGTGTTTATTTCAGGATGATCGGTATACTCGTCTTTCTTCTCTTTCTTCTCTTTCCCCTAATAATTTTGCAATGATCTACAGAATTCTTATTCAAAGATCTAACCAACTAATTCGTTTTACATTAGTCATTCCTTGATGCGCGCGACACTGATGATCGGATTAGCGATCGTCGTAATCGCTTACATTTATGTCTCCTCCCTCCCATCTCTTTAACCCATCTTCTCCCGTAAGTACATTAGATACGACCGAACAGAACACTGAGTACATTATTTCTAATACTTCACTTACAGGCTATTATGTACAGTTATGAATATCAGCGCACCATGATTTACGGTACCCGAAAGACCATCGAGTACCATTTCAAATGGCGCGTTGCAATCATGAAAGACGAAAGTGCTCTTCAGAACCGGTCGATTGCTTTACGCGCATGAGAGACAGAGTAGGACAGTAAAAAAACAGTTAAAGAAATGAGCGAGGAGAAATAGAGAGAGATAGAGAGAAAGTACGGCATGGAACGAGAAAGAAAGTAGAAGAAAGAGGGGACACATACGCATCCAAATATGCTGTACAAAAGATATTTTTTACCCAGTTTTACGAACGACGAATCGTTGGACTTTTGTCGAGCTCCGAGCTTTCATTGCAACTTTTCGTATTTCTTTTTTTTTTTTATTAATTATCGATAAAACTGCCCCCAACGTATTCATCGTCTATAAAACTAGACATTTGTCAAACAACAGTATAAATTTTATTTTTTTTGTTCTTTTTTTTTGTTCACAAGTTACGAAATAGATTAGAATCGCGATCGGTTAACAGCGGCTACGCGAAGACCAATGGAAGAGAAATATCGGACTCAATTTTGTATTCGTACGATTCTACGCCATAGAATATTCTACATAATTAATACTATGGGAAAGTGAATACAAAAAGTATTTAATATTTATACACATGACATGTTCCAAAATGAAATGTGAAAACAATGATTACGTGGAACAACTAACGAAAATGATACACGTGGACAGTATAAAAATGCAAGAGAATATTGATTGCAAAACACTAAATTCACTGGCGAATTTGTACAAATTACTACTTATTTATTTTAAAAAAACAAATTTAATTAGATTATTCCTTATTAAATATTTCGTAAGTCTATATTCACTTTCCGTTCATTCATACGACAGCCACAATTATATATAGCAATGTATTTAAAAAGACGAGGACGGGATAGTAAACGTTCACAATATTTACTGGAAAATCAAAAAAATTTCTACAGGAATACATACATGTACTAGCGCCGATTCATTCCATTGGCTCCGCACGATCATTTCACGTTGTCGCATACATTATACATATACTAATAAAAGAAAAATTATTTAATTGCATTGTATTTACATTATCGAGATATAAAAATACTAACAAGAAACATACCTACAGACAAGGTCCTCCAAACGATTCACCCCAATAGAAATAAACTAATTCATAATCAAGTTTGGCAGTAATATTGTCCCTATCTATTTGCATTCTTATTGTTGTTTACAAGATCCTCATTTTATTCACTCTCGGTAAAACGTAGCGTCTTCTAGGACATTTCATGCTTACACATTTCCTTAACGCTATCCATTAACTTTTTATCTCTATCCTAAATTCTTTGCTACCTTGGAAGATTTCCATTGCTCGCTGCACAGGCCTTTGCTGTGGGTCAATATAAAAACAAATGTTTTTATTATTCATACAGCTATCATATACACTGGTCACAGTGACGATTCATTTATAAAAACATGCGATTTCACATAACATTTGCTTCACCGCTGAACCTAATTTCTAAAGATGAGCCATAAAAAACACACAATGCAATTCATACACCTCACATTCATTAACAAATCTATTAGTAGCTACTTTCTTTTTTTTTAAAAAACAAGTTTAAATGCATAATGTCATAGTAAGACAAACAACAATTGTAGCTCTTACGAAACTGTTTGAGTTTTTTTAAATAACAAATAATCATATAAAATTATATAGAAATTTAAGTTGAGTAGGTTCAGCGAGGAATTTTCATGCCACTCGCTCGCTACCGTCGATTGCGACATTTATGGTGGCGGAAAATGTTTCAATGTACGAAAGCCATTCGTCTTCCTAGTCTTAAGGAGGATGATAATAAAAATAATAATACTCGACATATTTGTCGTAACAACGTTCCACAATTTACACTGCAGAAACGGCTTACACATACACACATGCACCAGTGTGTGTGCATATACTGTAAGAATATTTAGTATGCACAGATATATTATCTCATAGTTCTAGAAATATAATAAATTTTATAAATGTGTCATATGTGTGTTTATGTGCACAATCTCACTAGCACTGTTACAACCCGAATGTGTGTCGTGCGTATAAATCTGTGATTTCTTTGAAGACAGTTGTGTGGAAGAACAGTGGAACTGCAACTTGCGAGACATGGAATTTGTGTTATTTAATTAACACTTGGCCTCTTTATCGCTTTTCTTTTATCGTATCAGAGTATTCAATAATTTCCTTAAAGTTTTGGGTAACTTCTTGAGCCTTCACCTCACTTATTCGTAATGTTACACAGCTCACCGACGCTTTTACTTCGCGGCGTATACCGTGTCTTTTGAAAGTGTTGCGTATTTGAATATAAATTAGCCTGTGTTAACATCCTTTCCGAAGACTTCAAATTTATCTCTGTACGTACGTCTACATGCGACGGAGTTCTCGAACGTACTACGTGGAGGGGACTGTCTTGATTTATAGTAAGTCGTGAAAGTATATTTGTATCGTACGACAAAATTTTTGAGCTTGCAGCCAATCTACAAGCACAGGGAGAACACTTTGGTAAATTTATCATAATTTTATCTGGTTCAATTGTTAAAGTTGACCGGCCAAATTTTTTTAAAGGACTGCAAATAAGTTTTTTATTCTTCGATTTCTTTTCAATAGAATCGTTCCTCCCTTGATCTTTACTCGATTTCTCAAAACTTTTACTTGTAAATTTGTTATTCTTACTACCCCATAGAAATTTTTTTACATACTCTGTAGATTTTTCATTACTAGCCTGTGTTTCGTGTTCTTCGAGTCTTTTACCTTCTGCAATTATTTCTCTAGTTGAAGTTTTAGAACAACAATACTGTTTATTGTTTTTACTACACTGTGACTCCAATGCAGATTCTATACTATTATATTTAAACTGGTTTATAGGAGACTTCTTCTCTGTTTTAAGCTGAGTGTGAATACTTTTACAATCCGAAGTATCTTTAGTATTATCGCTAGAGGTATTGGAAAATGACGAAATTGATTTTTCTGCGATCGTATGTTGTTGGCAGTCTTCGACCTGTATGTCAACTAAAGTTGTGTGCGACACCTGAATACTAGTTTTTTTATGACTTTGTCCAAATGAATTTTTCAAAGTTCTGTGAACAATATTCTTTTGACTTTTGCTAAACGGATTTTTTAAATTCTTAGGTAAAGAAATGTGTTTCTTTGCAACTTGACCAATATGATTTAAGCGAAAATTGTGACGAACAGGTGTATTCTCTAATATTGTTTTATTATGTTTCTTATCTTGCACATTTGTAGTTACTTCTTTCTGCTTCACGTTTCTTTCATCATGCTGAATTGCTTTTCTTGAACTACTGTCCAAACTTGAGTCGTCTTCTTCGGAACATGTGACCTTTAAAGAATCTGTACGGTGAATTTCCTGGTTACTAATTGTCTGTTGATCACAGAAGAATACATCGTCTATAGAGGCAAAGAATGATTCTTCATCACAGGGGAGGACGGGTGCCTTTTCCCCTGTGGGAGGCGACTGCTAGACAAGCTTTTCAGTCTGTGAGCTTGTTGAAATGGAGCTGATCGTATTTGAATTATTAGAAGTGGTGCGCCCTTGACTGCTCACATGCGTATGCCCTCCTCCCTGCCCCCCCTGACTCTGGGAGAGGCTTAGTCGCCGTCAGTTTACCAGCTCTACGCTTACAAATTGTTTCAGTCGCTCTAAGTATTGATCAAACATCTCCACATTATTGTGACCAGCACCCTGGAAACATGATTTGTACCATTCATAAAATTTCACTCTTTGACAAATAGAATTATAAACAGAATTATATACCTCAACCCATAATGGTTCTACTGCTCTTGGACACCTTTCATAAATTGCTAAACCATGACTGAAATTTATTACTTCATCGTCAGTTCCATGAATGACCAAAACTGGAGACGTAACTTTGGGTACTTTATCTATACTGTACATAAAGAAAATTTCATTTATCCCTTACATCTTACCTGTACCTGTAACATCATTATGCTATGCGTACAGATGATATACAAGATGCCTGATATTGTTTTCAATATAATATAAAGAAGTTTCTAATAATTACCATTCAATAAACTATAAGGCTCTTGATATCAATGAGGTTGACACTATTGTAAATAATAACATTGTTTTCCTATATTTTATATATTAAATAAATATTTGATTCATAAATATGTAAATTTTATAAATATAAATAAGAAAAAATAATGTTTCCCGGATCATATTTGTTTAAAGAATATGTAAAGAATACAGTCAAATATAATGTTAAAATGTTTTTCTTGTTAACAAATATTCGATTATTGCAATTCAGTACAGTTTAATCAAATAAAGAACAATGTACGGATTACAAATACACGGCAGCTGAAGCGTAACACTTATTAGTGAACTATACAACGGATCGTGCAACTTGCAGGTTTCCACGAGACAAGTATTCAGATAAACTTTTATTGCTTCCCATACTTTGATTCAGTGATTCTGAGAATCGCACAAAGAATAATTTAAGCGGGTACGACAGAATAATATTCCGCAAATTCGTTACATTGGTTCGAAATATTCGCTGCGTTCAACACAAATTTTAGACTGTAAATTTAGAATACATTGTCGCGTGTACGTATGGAATTTGCTGTATCTGTACCACGTGCATAGATGGATACTTAACTCGACAATAGTGTCATGCGCGTAAACCTTAGCTATGCGAATGGCAGTGTACGATAAGCGGATTATAGATCGCGTTTCATTAAGGCAATAAACAAAATCGCGTGTATCGCAGGAATTCCAACTTACCTGGGAAAGGCGTCAAAGAACCATGTTCTTTTGGTTTTTGGAAAAGCAACTCGCATTCCCGACATCAAAGGTGAATGCAGAACAACTGCGCCAACCTCATATCGTGCGGCCAGATCGACCGTGGGTACAGTCCCGATACTTTGCCCATATAGAATAATGTTTTCTGGGCTAATACCGTATCGTGTTCTTAGAGCATGCCACGCAGCGTCTATATCCGCGTAAAGGTTTTTTTCTGACGGTTTACCACCAGAAACCCCGTAACCCGAATAATCGTAGCTGAATATGTTACAATTTATTCTCGCCCCAAGTCCCAAGTAAAAACTTGACATTTGTCCAAGATCGGCCGCATTGCCATGAGAAAATAAAATTGTAAAACGTGCAGTAGCGGAGCACCGTACAAACACACAGGCTATTCGGTTCCCTCGTGACGTTCTCGCATAGAAACCTTCCACCAACTCTTTCTCCCTTTCCGCGAATTGCCATTCTGCCCTCTCGGACAGAGAAATTGTAAACTTGGAACCTTCATCCTCGACAAACGTGTAAGTAGGCTCGGGCGGTAGAAACGCTAGTTTTGCAGCGATTCTGGACGGGCAGGGTGGACAGCAAAACAAGCAACACAATTCACTAAAACTTAACCCGTTCATCGTTTCACGGGGGAGTCACGCACACGCGAAAACACCGTTTATCACGTTCCCTCTTGATGTCTCCGCATCGAGATTAGCGATTTGTCTTAAACGTGAGTTTCATGCACTATAACTTTCACGCCTACTAATTTAATCACAATGTCATTTGTTATCCTACTCTTGCAAGAGTCTTTCACGATGATTCAGCCATGACGGCTCGCAAGACGGACAATTTCTCTCCCTCCTTCGTTCTCTCTTTCTCACACAATGCCCCCACCTAGTAAACGTTGCGCACTTTCATTGTATTCAGGTAAAATGAGATACGGAACAAGGATAGAGATTATGGTGCTACTTTCCAGCGTTGCTCTTTTACTCATTGCTCGCTATTGGTGAAGAATTTAAAACCAACAAGATGATTCGATATATAATGAAGAATGATCATGTATTCAAGCACCGCTAAGTGTATTACCAACATTTCAAGTAGCAATAGAAAGCGCGTGAACGGTACATAAGTATGCGCCTTATGGTGAGACTGGATCTAGTGATTTTTTCGAAAGACAGCTATGAGGTTAGCAATAGACAGCAACCTTTCGTGGAAAATCGATTAAATCCAGGTATATGGTGGAAACTCGACTAGTTCATGTTGTTGCGTGATCGTTGCTGTTCGCTATATAGTTTTGGCCGATGGCGGCTGTCAACTGGTGTACCTTAATCTCTCGTTGGACGGATTTTTATAAATCTTCAAATAATTTCGAGAATCTTTATCCAAAAATAGTTATCATATATTCACGTTAAATTGAATTTTCTATGAGCCTGTGAAATTAACATTTACTTGTATGGCATCCGGCAAAGAAACAATGGGGTAAGTGAACGTGGTGATATTCCGCACCGCCTTTTAAGGGTGTGTAATATATGTACACACGAGGCACACTTTCCACGTCCTATACGAGTACTATAAATTATCCTTAATTCTTATATTACCGAATACCGTCAATTGATATAAAATAGGTCAATTTCATTGCGTTGGCTAACGATCTGTACTATCTTTTCCTGTCTATTTATGATCTTATTCCCTACATCATCGCAGATACGCGTTTAGGTGGGTGCGTACGACAGAAGAGTCTGGAGCAGAATGTTTTTCTTTTCTTTTATCTATATATAACCACGCAATAGAACAGCGAAAGTGGGATAAGTCGGTACCGCGTGAGATGCGTTTATTCTAGTTGTTTACTCGTGCATCATTCGATATATTTTTAGATTTGTATTATAAAAAAAAAATTATTCCACAAACTGTAAAAATATTCATCAAATTGAATTTTTTTTTAAATTTCTTCTTTCAATAACATTGTTATGTTTAAAAATAGTTGAGTACAATTTTATTAATTCTAATATAGTGTAACAATGTTGTTCATCTATATTTAGATCATTGTTAACGTCTATATTATTATTATATATTGTTTCTTTTCAGATAGGCTGCATAAGTGGTTTCGCATTTTAGTAGAAGAATAAATATATTGCATTTCCATTATAGATATTTTTTTTTGAAAAATGAAGAATTTATTAATTGTTAAAATTTCCTGTTACTTTTAAATAAATGTATATAAATTGTACAAATATTGCACGTATAGTAAATTTAAAAAATTCCATATAGAAATATATTTATTTTTCATGATAAATATAAAAGACAAATTGCTTGTTTATATTCATTTCCTTTGATTTCCTCCAAATTAATATCATTTCAATGTTAAACTGTAATAATATTACATCTTCATTCTATTAATTTTAAGGCATGTAAAAATATGTACATTCAAGTTTTCTTTAAGGAACTTAATTTTGTTATGTTTCTGTAGACTATATAGAATAAAGTTCTGTAAAAAGATAAATTTTAAGATATTCATTATTAAAATCCTATAATTTGTATTTTGAGTATGATGCATAAGTAGATGCTGCATGTATTGAATAAATAGATATACTTAAATACCTATCTTGCTTTTAATAAATTACAGTAAACAACCTATTTTCACGTGCAAAGCGCACGTGTTTCATATCGATCCCAAGACGAAAAGGTCTTGGGTATCGGCATCTACAGCAGCAGTATCTGTTTCATTTTTTTATGATTCAACAAGAAGTCTATATAGAATAATTTCCGTTGAAGGAGCAAAGGTGATTAAAAATATAAATTTTTTTTAAACAGAATATATTTATGTTATCTTTAAAAAATACTTACATTTGTTTTATTTTTAGGCTGTAATAAATAGTACTATTACTCCAAATATGACCTTCACAAAAACATCACAAAAATTTGGCCAGTGGTCAGATGTTAGAGCCAATACCGTATATGGTCTTGGCTTCTCATCTGAAGAAGAATTAGGAAAGGTTTGTGAAATACGTCTTTAGTTAATGCACAGCCATGTGTACACCACAATCTCAGAGACAATATCATTCATTTGGCAGTTTATTGAGAAGTTTCATGAAGTGAAGGAAGCAACTAAATTAGCTAGTGCTAAGTTACAATCAAATAGCTCGTCTGTCACTCCTGCTACTAGTGCAAACGTTAGCCCGATTACATCGCGATCGGGTATGCCATCATCAGAACAAGATCTTATAGATCCACCAAATTCATCAATGATTAATTCCAATGTATCCACATCGAATAACCCAAACCCAAATGCCAACATGATCTCTACTCAAAACAATGTATCTTTGGTAAGCAGCAGTCCCTTACCTGGTAGTTGTCAGAATAAAATGGATGACGAATTGAAAAATGCAGTCCATTCAAGATCACAGAGTGTTTCTCAGCAGAGTACAGAGAGTCCACAACATCAAGGGAAATCCTCGCAACTCGGTTCTACGCAAAGTGGACAATCGGCTGAGATGCAGCTGAAATATGAAAATGATAGGCTGAAACTAGCATTGGCACAAAGCTCTGCAAATGCTAAGAAATGGGAGGTACGATTCTAAACTCATTAAAATATATATGCTATATATGCAAACGTAAATACATAACAATTATTATATTTTGATAATCTATGCCATTAAGATTTTCTCTCTATTTGTTCTTATTAATTGTTGAAGCTTCAATTTGTATTGTAGGTTGAATTAACTACTTTGAAAACGAACAATGCAAGATTAACAAGTGCATTACAAGAATCTACAGCTAACGTTGATGAGTGGAAAAGACAATTACAGTTGTATAAAGAAGAAAATGCTAGAGTTAAAGTTAAATATGCAGACCTGGAAGCTGGAAAAATTGCAGAAGGCAATAGCGAAGCACTAAGGTTGAGAGTCGAAGCATTAGAAAGTGAACTTAGAACACGAAATGAAGAAATCAAAGCTCTCACTATGGCTACAAAAAATAAAGATTTTGTAGTATGTATATATTATAAAATTTTAGTTTGGTACATAGTAATAGTACATAAAATAAATTATTAGAGGTGCGCGAGGCCTCGAAAATTTCGAGTCGATATGTGACGAAAATTTTATTTGAGATCGAAACGAGACCTTGAAACATTATTATTTTCGAGAATATCGAAAATCGCTAGATTCTATAAAGGTTAGAAAATCAGTTTTGCTATATGCAGATTTCTAATGTTACTTACATATTATATATTCACCATTTATTTAAGTTTTTCACATTTTTGAGGCTTCCGACATATTTGAGATTTTCGATTACTTTCGATAAATCGATGATTTTCGAGATTCTTAACATTATGAATGATGAGATACTTTCGAGGTCTCGTCTCGTCTCAAACATCGAGGCCTCGCACACTTCTATAAATTATATTTAAATACTCGTTAAATTTGTACTCTTATTTTACAGGCGTTACAGAAAGATAATGCGGAACTTCGTGAAATGTTAAGGGCAGTTCATGAACAATTAGAACTCGCATTAAGTGCGAATAAAGTCCAAAAACAAAATTTGGATACGTTAAATGCAAGATTAGCCGGATATATACAAGATTTGGTAACTGTACATCGAGAAATCACAAACACACTGCAAACCTAAGTTTGCACATAGTAAACCTAAGAATATTCTTCTTGGGAGTTTTGTATTTACTATATAAGTGAAGTATACAAATGGACGGTGTAGATTAATACAAAGGGAAAGGTTCCAAAAAAAACATACATAGTAAAAAAAGTCTTGAAAAGGTAAACTAGGAACACTATCTTCAAATGATAAGGGTAGATTGCATCTTTCTAAAATATTTATTCTATGTTAAATTAATAACAATATTTGATATTATTTTTCATAAACGTCTTTCGTGCCATACTCTTATTCTTGTTGTATATAAAAATACCTTTTTTATTAACGTTGTTTTATATATTGTGTTTTTAATTTGTATACTTCTGCATGTACAAAAAAATTTTATATATTGATATGAATACAGAAAATGCTTTTACTTCTGCACAGATAAGAACAAGAATCTCTTGGATATTATATATCTATTATACTGCATCATAAGAATAATGTTAAAAGAATTACTATGAGTTATTTAATTAACGTGTAATGTATTATGTTTTCTATACAGGGTGTTCGGCCACCCCTGGGAAAAATTTTAATGGGAGATTCTAGAGGCCAAAATAAGACGAAAATCAAGAATACCAATTTGTTGATGGAGACTTCGTTAAAAAGTTATTAACGTTTAAAATTCCGCCCGCACAGTATTTTTTTTCGGAAGTGGATAGGATTTCGTGTGTATGTGTATTCACCAAAAATGATTGTAATTGACCACTGCAACCAAAAATAATTTGTTTAAAACAATTTGAAATTTTTTAATTTTGTCGAAAAATTTCACACCTCGAATTTTTTTCTAGAAAATGGAGAGGACTTCGGGGGTAACTCTATTCACCAAAAATGATTATAATTGACCCCCGCAACCTAAAATAATTTTTTCAGAACGATTTAAAATTTGTTAATTTAATTGTTAATAACTTTTTAACGAAGCCTCAGTCAAGAAATTGATATTCTTGATTTTCGTCTTATTTTGCCCTCTAGAATCTCCCATTAAAATTTTCCCCATGGTTGGCCGAATACCCTGTATATCTTGTTATAGTGGATTTTTATATATATCACTCAAATTAGATCTATAACTTGTTTTGTCTTACAATTGTGTTTAAATGTCTAACAAATAAATTATAATTACGATTATACTGCGGTCATCATTACTAATACTATTTCACTGATTACTATTGATCTTTGACTCATTACTAAGCTACAACTCTTACTATACTATTACAACTATTATTATCATTATTAAAGCTATTATAACTACCTCCACTACTACTGCTGCACTACTACTTGCTGTTATTATTACTCGTAGTATCATTGTTAGTGCTATTTCTATAACTGTTACTACTGTTACTGTCGATCAGGTTGTCATTACATGCTTACAAAGGACTTTTATGATATTTAGAAACATAAAACATATCAAAAATGTCACAAGATTTAGTGTGATACATGTCTCTCAATGTTTTTTTGGAACTTAGCCCCTTGGAATCAACAATAAAATTCAGTTACCCATGAACACAAATAAGAAAAATGCACAATTAACATTAGTAACGTTTAGTGATACTCAATTATGTAGTATAACTATTTAATTCAGCTGTACATTGTATCCATACTGTTCTATCATAAATTATTTACCTTTATCAATTTGTAAGAATATATAAAATTGAAGAGTCTGGCATGAGCTGTACAGTATCGTTGATATCTAACATAAAGTATGGCATGAGAAAATATATAATATAGTTCATTTACAATGGGTAACTTAGTGGTTTCAGCTTGAAGGATTATCAGATGTTTAAATATTGTGCAAAAAAGAAAGATGTTTTTAATGTGCAAAATGTTTTGTTAATTTTTTTATGAAACCATAATATACATTGATTCATTGTTAAAAAAATAAATTTAATGTTTTCCAATGTAAATGATTTGTTATTCACTTATCACTATCTTTTAAAACATTCTATAGCATTCAAGCCAGATATTCTTCAATATGTTATACTTGAATAGCATAGGTTCACTAGAAAACAATTCGCCCAAGGATTCTGACCGACCTTCTGAAAGATGTCAAGGTGATATTTCTTGTAACAATAAATAATTTCTAGTAGTAAATGAAGTGCAAAATACTAAAAGGTGCACTTTTTATTGTACTGACAGTATGTATGTATGTACGTAAAAATGTTGCGGAGATGAATTTTAAATTTGAGGAATTGGAAACAAAAACCTCGCTTGCCATATGTAATCATAATAAAACATTTTCAGATGGCTTTCCTGTGCTCTATTACCAATTACGTTATTACACCTATATTTTCATAAATATGTATCGTATGAAACATTTTTAATTATGTTAATTTTCGGAACTTTTTGTTAATGTGGGTTTAGTATTTTTTGCTATTTTTCTCAATTTTTTCTTATACTTGTTTATCATTTAAAACTACAATAATGAATTTTTACTAAAATTTGTATTGCGTAGTAATGTGTCGATTATGTTAAATGTTTATACGAAATAAATTAATTTATTATTTGTATTAGCAAAAATGACGAAAATATTAGAATATGTATGTAAGTGATTCTCAACTTGTATACAGTTCTTGTTGTTGGATACTGTAACATAAGACTCTTCGAAATAATTTGAAAATTTTTAAATTAATACAAAGTTAAAAAAATATGCAACAAAATCTCCTATCTTTACATATGTATGACTGTACATATCTAGTTTACTATCTATAGTTTATCATAGTAAAGTGCCGAAAGCAATATAGACGAGTTGATCGTATATTACACTCCGTGCTCTGCATCAATAACGCAAAGGGGAAACATAACAGTGTAACCTGCGGTATAATTTTACATTAATAGACATTATAAAATGAAAAAATATATATTGATTTTCGCAATTATTGGGCATTAGTAAACTTTAATTATTGTATAATTTTCAACATACGAATTGCCATAATCGCTAAAAGAGTGATCAAAGTGTCGTATAACAACTGAATTTGTAAAGTCGAGTTGTTTGTTTAAAAAAAAAAACGTTCATTTTAAGAACAACTTGGTTTGCTGTTGTTTACGATTATTTTGTACAAGCAAGTGGTGAGTTTACATACTAATAATTAACGAACTAACTAAACGAATACAGTAGAAGTCATTACTGAACCAGTAGGATCAGTATTTAAACCGTAGTTACATTCTTATGTGTTTCGCATTCTTTTTATGTCTATACATAAATTACTTAAATAAAACACATGTGTAATTAGTGATACAACTGTTTAAAAAAGAATACTTGCATAGAATACATGTACATTTGTACGTGCATTGTGATAAAATAAGTATTGTGTTTGAACAAATTCGGCATAACCTAATACATATTTTTGTTCTTTTTTGTTTTTAAAACTAAGATTATCTGTAACTGAATAATATAAATTTAATGTTTTAATAGTAGTATGTGTAAGTGATAAATTAGTGTATTAAATGTTACAGGTAAAAAATGGTAGTGTTTAGCAATTTTCTTGCACCGCAGGAAGGAATACGCCATAAAGAGCAAAATACCACTGTGTCCATTAATGATAGAGAGCTGGGGAAAGGAACTCTGTATATTACAGAGAGGTAAAAACTAAAATGGAACAAATTTAAGTTTCATAGTAGTACTTACATGTTTTAATGTAACGTTCACATTGGTAGCTTGCTTTCTTGGGTGAACTATGATACACAACAAGGATTTTCACTTGAATATCCTGATATATCTTTACATGGCATATTACGAGATAAACTACATCCAAGAAAATGTTTATATATTGTGGTCGATGCAAAAGTAGACCTTCCAGGTATATGTACTCTCCTTTGAACATATTTGTGCGTACATTTCAAAACAAAGTTAAAGTCTATAATTTAGCTAGAAATCTTTGATTAAATATTATTTAGTTAACACATTTGCTACTGTTATACAATCTGCCATAGACAACATATTTGTAGTAATTTTATTCGATACAAAGTAGTGATTTTTAACTGGTATGCCACACAAGATCTGTAGATGTGTTGCAAGTTTACAATCGAGCAAATGTGTTAAATGTAGAAATTAAGCAATAATAATTGATATTCTAGTTTTACTTTTCCCATGCAAATTTTTGTGAAGATGCACCTTTACCTCCATCCTCTGGAAGTGGTTCCGAAAATGAGGATGAAGATGCAGATCCTAATTTTACGGAAATGAGATTTGCTCCTGATGATACAAATAACTTGGATGCAATGTTTCAAGCAATGAATCAGTGTCAGGCACTTTATCCTGATCCACAGGATAGTTTTTCAGATGGTAGATAAAATAGTTTGTTATAATGCACAAAGTTTGGCTTGTCGTGTGAACTTTTTATGTACGAAGTATATGTGATTACACAGCCGAAGAAGATATTTACGAAGACGCAGAGGAAGATGATTTTGAAAATTATGAAGCTGGTGCTGGCGATGCTCCCTACATTGTACCACCAGGTAATATTTATACCTTGCAATTATTAATATAAAAAAATTACGTTGATGGTTTTGGTGTAAAATATGGATGTCTGTGAAAAATCTTCCGTTTAAGGAATGATAACTAAGTTCATGTATACATGTATTGTGATTCTGCATTGCTGGAACAAATAGGTATCAATTACAATGGCACAGAAGCAGACGAAGCTATGGACATAGAAGCAGGTCAATTTGAAGATGCGGAGGAAGATCCATAAAGATGATGACGTCAAAATGCAGATATGCTTTTAGTATTAATTTAAAATTACCAGTATCATATATTATGGTAGATATGTGATATTATGGCAAACTGTATTATAGAGCTGTACCGAACATGAAAACACCTAACATTTATTTATATTCATTTTGTACACAAATAATTTGTTAGGTAAAAGTAAACAATTGCATATCATACTCAGCTCCTTGTTTATACGCATATTTGTATTTTTTCTTAAAAAATTATTAATTTCTTATACTGATTTGAATAAAAATAAAATTTAATAAATATAGTCTTCTAGAAGTTGTTAAAAACATTATTAATATCGTAAGAATTTACAAATTTTAAAATAACAATTTCATGTATAACAAACGTAAAATTGATTAAATTATAATCAAAACTCTTAAACATGTCAACATGTAAATTTTTTGTAAATATTACATGAATGACGTTAATATGACAATTTGATTAAACACAATGCTCAAATCTGTTAAATTTGAAATTTAATTATTTGTATTCTTACATAAAAATTATATCTAATTTATGATGTGTATAACAAGGACAGTTATATTCAAATTGTATAAAAAAAATCATAACTTTGTTATTTCGCATTCTTTTTTTTTTTTCATTTAAATATACTGCAATACATAACACATATGACACATTCGTACATTTCTAATATACTTATAAAACAATATTCCTTATAATAAAAATCACATACGAGTGAGAATCTGTATTAAGAGCAGACAGATGTGAATTTCAAACTAAAAATAAAGAAACAATATTCTGCTGTACATTCTATGCAGCAAATACAGAGATCGTATAATTTGCAATTTTATGTATAAATGACTTGATTTTATAATATTTCATGTATTCTTTCAAGAATAATTAAATGAATCTATCGAATCTTTTTTGGGCCGAAAATAAGATCTGCATCCGGTGCACCTTTAGGGTGATTATACTTTTGACGCCGTTCTCTATTTAAATTTACTGTCACTGGTCTAGTACTTTGATTAATTGTTTCTTGATAATCTTCTTCCTCTTGTCTTTCTGTAATATTTAATGTCAATCTTTTAACTCGTTCTTTTTCTTCTTTTTGTTCTTGTTCCCGATTTCTGAGATTCATCGCCAATTCTGACGACACAGGAACTGCTAAGTTTTTATACTGTTGTTTATTACCTTTTCTTAGCATAAGCACAAAGTCGACTGTACTATTATCAGTAGGTCTTTCTTGCAATTGTTCATATGTTTTCTTAGTACTTTTTACATGTAAAGGAACTGAAATATCTACTTGTTGAGGTTTTACCGAATCTCGCATTCTATCTTGTATATTATCCGAGACCATTTTATCGAGAGCAGACAAAAAGTCGTCGTCTTCTGGGCAACTTACTCTTCTAGGACCAGCTGGTAATGCTGCATTTAATTCTGTAACATCCATAAGAACACCATCCGTACCACCTTCTGAAAGACTTTGATCTCCTTGTGTATTTTCTTGAGTACCCATAGTATCGTCTCTTTCCGCGTCAGCGGTCCATTCTTCTTCCGATTGTGCCTCAGAACAATCTTCAGACTCTTCAAAATGTAAATCGGCCACACCCTTTGCATCTCCACTGCCATTTCCAGTGGTGACAGTTAATTCTTCATCTCCTTCTGCAATTACACCCATATCAGAGTCTCCATCGGTACGATCAGCACCATCTTCTGCAATAGGATTTCCAAGTGTGGGGTATAATGTATTTCGTAATTCCTCCACAGCACATTGGGCTTCTTTGTAACTTTGGAACAATTGCATTTTAGGTCTTAGCATTGTTAGCGTGTCGCGATACATATAATCTATACCTACTGGAAAAGGATTTTCGGAAGTCCAAATAGGATCTGTATATTTAAACCAATAATAATTTTGAAAAAATATCAAAAAATAATCAAGTTTTTTCTTGCTAGAACCACCATTAAAATATTGTCCACAGGTTTCTAATAATGTACAGACTAATCGAATTCTAAACAAATGATCGGGTGGATCGAGGATACTTGGCGCGGAATGATCCATACTGACTCCAAAAGTAATCAGAAGATACAATGTTCGAAATATATCTCCGCTTTCTACCATACGATAATTATACAATTCTCCAAGATATTTAACCATAGCAATACGACGTTGTTTAAATTTTGGTAAATTAATTTCCATGCATAGCCTTATATCTTCCAATACACCATCGACTACATGAGGACCTATAGTTTCATAATGCGCAACAAGTCCTGCTAATAAACTTCCGACGCATCGAATATTTAAATATTTAACGTTATAAGCGGCAGTAAGACATTTAATGGCGTAAGATGATACGCTTTCGTCTTCCCAGTCTAATTTACGCATCCATTTAAGAACTTTATCGGTATTTGTCTTGGAAAGATCCTGATATAGTAATTTTCTTATAAATTCGTGAATCGGCGGTCTATCCTTTCGAGAGACACCACCCGTAGATTCTGGTGGATTTACAAAATAATATGCATTCTCAATTATTGTTACATAACGCGAATCCAATGCAGTGACCGCCTTTTTACGCATCATTTGTTCTAAATATACTTTTGTTCTTTGATGCGAATCTGGTGAACAAAATAAATATCTTCCACATGTTTCTAATAAATTGCAAGCCATTTCGATATGATGATGAGTGAAATCATATAACAAAACTTTTAAGCAATATAATGCTTCTATCTTCGAGTAAAGTTTAAATTTTACAAGTTCACCAATGTATCTGACAACTTTTACTTTTGATTCTATGTTGATTTGATCCTTTTTGCGTACGTGGTATTTAAAGTCATGCTTTAACATTAAACATAAATCATTTCCAACATCAGGCATAACAGGATAAAGAATAGCAGCCAACCGTGAATAAAATGGTAGTAGATCTAAACGAATTCTGGACACACCAAATAACGCTTTTACTAATTTTTTCTTATTATGTTTTGTGCTGAGATTCATTAAAAAGTGTACTGCAGCATTGTCAATCATTTCACGATTTACACAATTTGGTAAATGAGTTAGGAATGCATCCAAAAGTATTTTATTACTTATGTTTGAAACTTGAGGCTCATCCACTTCTGCTTCAGGTTCATCCACTTTTTCAGTCTCTTCTAATTCATCAAATGTTACTTCTTCATCTAAAGCTTCTTCGCTTATTGGGGCATCTTGTTTAGGTACTTCTTTTAAATATGATCCTGGAAGAAATACCGTCAAGTCTGGTAAAACTTCATAGAATCGCCTAGTTTCGTCATCTCCCCACATGTCTTCTAAGATACTATTTTCCTCCCCTTCGCTAATCATTTTCAAGGTTTCCTCTGCTTCTGCTTTCATTTCGCTATCAACAGGAAGTTCTGGCATAGGTTCATCCAAAGTATCAGAAAAACTTTGTACATTATTAAGCAAACGTTCATAAGATACTTGAAGACTTTCAAGTTTTTCTTTTCTTTCAGAACTTAGTTCACCTCTGGTTTGTAATATTTTTCGGTTTTGTTTTTCAAATGCTTGAAGATCTTTGTGTTCCTTTAATAAGTGCTTGCATAACGAGTTATAATAATCTCGTAGTAGTAATCTAACATTTTGTTGTTTATCAGGTGAAAGTAATTTGCTTTTAGGAATTGGTACATTTAATTTTTCTGATATTTCCCTTACTCGTTTAGGTACAAGACCTGCATAATCTTCACCACAGTGTTTGCAAAAACTTAATATAATGCTTGCATTGTTGTGTTCTTCTTTATCCATATTAATCAAAACTGTTAATGCTGAACCAAGTAGAGATAATCCTTGTTTATGCGTGAAAATTCCTGCATTAACCAGCTCTGCATAAAATCGGAGATCTACTCTAAGTTTGCTCGGATTTGCAATTTTATCTACAACTTTCAGAGATAAAATTCTTTGCCAATTTTCAAAAAAATGCGTAGAGAATTCTGCATATGTTTGATGTAAAAAGCTACATACTTTAATAGCAGGCGCAACATCTGTCATTTTTAACTTGGCATCCACTAAAGCAGTAGCAACTTCGCTTACATATTTTGTTAAATTTAAATGCATCATGTCTTTTAAAACTGTATCTAACTGTATACTACTAAAGTTTTTTAGTTTTTTCACAAATGTTGTGTTTCTTTTCAGGGTTGAATCTAATTTGCTAAAATATGTGTCTGGTGGTCTATTAGGGTTTAAATTAGATGCTCGAATTTCTTCTTTTGTAGCAAGCCGTTGTTCTGTTTCTTTTACATATTCCATTAAGTATTGTTTATCTTCTTCAGACACAACATCCTGTTCAATAGCTGCTTCTGCAGCTTCTGGTGCTGCTTCCTCAATTTCTGACATGATTCAATTCTGTTACATGAAATATATATATTTTCACAAAATATAATCAAGAATAAGTACTTATGTGTATATATGTATTTATTAATTGAGTTACATGTATATTGTATCATTAATGAAAAAAAAAATTTGTATGATATGAATTAGTGAATGCTCTATATTATAAAATGTCAAAATCTGTACACCAAATTTTATAGTCTACCAGTATACCAAACTTTATAGTCTGTAATGTCATTGAAAAACTATGCTTTCAATGTATGATATTGTTTTAATTACGAAATATTGTGCATATTTTACAGTACCCAATATATTTATATTAAAATTACAAATAACAAAATTTATATAAAAATTAAATACTTTTGTTTGAAACAAGGTGAGGGTATAAATTGTATTAGTCATATTATTTTGAACAATTTTTATGTTCTACTACTTTTGGAGTTGTTTACTTACGCCTTTAAAATGTAAATAAGGTTATGTTATGGCAGACGACAACTAATCTTTTAGTAGCAATCACATAATTCACATACTAACAATACGATACTGTTCGTGTACAAACTACTATAGTCTATTTTTTTAGAAGATAAAATCGATCTAAATAAAACGGGACTATAGCAAAGGTATCTCGGCAAGAGGCTAATCTTCGAATACAAACGAATATAATAAAATTGATACAAATTACTATTTGTGTGTGCATATAATACTGTTTGTTCTTTCTCAAAGCTTTAACTTTTGCATCAATTATTTATTGCAACTTTTGTCAACGAATTTTCGAGAGTTTTTGACCAAAGATCGATTGGCACTGCCAGCCAATCAGGTTTTAGTCATGCAATGGACATTGTGTATATTCAATTTCAATGAATTTTAATTCTTTTATATGATTATTTAAAATTACTCTCCAATTTGAAGAAGCGAAAGTTCTTATTAACTTTAATAACAACTTTAATAAATTCGTTAATTACAAATTTTAAATGTTTCATTTATATATCGATAAAGTTCTGAATCACATCGATATATCGAAGTCTTGTTCTTTGGATTCGCATGTAGAAAGACGGGCAATAGAATAGTTTAATTAATATTAGGAAAACGTGAGTAAAATATTGTTTATCGTGCTTTAAATTGTTCATTCTCTTTTTTTCGTTTTCTTTTTTATACTTCATTGTTAATTCAAGTTGAAAATGTTGTTAAATTGGATGTAACAAAGAAAGGAAAATTGTTTTATAGCACCTTCAAAGCTACAACATCATCTTTGTCTGTTTTTAAAAAATCATTCATTTAATTAACTTCTAAAGTAATATCTGTGAACCTGTTTTTAAAAAGAGCATTTATCTTTTATATTTTACGATTATACAACAATGATAAATGCAGAAATATGTATAATCGGTTGTTATAATACATATGAAATAAAATGTGAACGATTGTTGCAACAGTTCTGAAAGTCGACACTAGTGGACGCTGTGATCGACGACTGTTCCTGCATCGAGCCTCCAATTAATCAGTCATTGCTTGTTGCTAGGGTCAGATGGGTCGTACCAGAGTTTAGAGGTAGTTCGTTAGTGGCGCTAATGTAGTCTTTTCTGTCACCTACCATACAGCATCGTGTGTAGTTTATGGCGTAGTCGTTTAGCAACGGCCAAATAACCGCGTACTTCGAGATCGTAAGGTGAGGTAACATTCTATTATCGAATAATATTTTGTATTATATTATTTATATTTTATCTATTATCATTACTTATCTTGTTATTATCACACTGTCCTATTTATTATTACTATAACTTTTGTTTCTAGGTCAACCACAACTACTAGTTGAATTGCAACAATGCTGCAGGAAATTACATACACATGTACTTGCTCGATTTTTTTCATCCTTCTTCCTATTTTTCAGCTTTTATTCAGAAACTTTGATGACCGCGTGCAATGCGGTCGGTAGAGTCAGTATTTGATTCGTAAAATAGATTAACGTTTTTCGAAACACAGTGGCTCCGAACAGATTAGCGTTTACATGTTAGGTATACGCGAAACTAGAATCAGTGTTTATCGTGCAATTGTAATTTGTTTTCAGAATATCGGGACTCATTGTTTTATGAATCGCAAGAATAGAATCACTTGTTTGCCGATCTCAATTTTCGGTCACGTAAATTTTGTTCACTATTGTTTGATAGTCATTTTTTTAAATTTTTCTCTACAAAATTAGAATTATTCGCCATCGGTATTAGAATCAGTGCATCGCTGAAGAGAAATATTGGATGAAACTTCACAAGAAAAAATGTAAATACCTTTGTACTTTCTTCTTTTTATAACAAGGACAAAATTACCATCTCTATTTTTGTTATCTCGTTTAAAAATTTCTTAAGTATCAGAAAATTGTTATGTCCTTTGTACCGAAAATAAAGTCTCAATAATTTTAAAAATAGATTTTAATATTTTGTATTTCTTTATAGACTTGTTACATCTTTGCATCGCGTGAATAGGCCCAGCAGAATTTCTTCGGTTGTTTCACTGGTGACTTCTAAGCGCCCTCTACCAAACAATACATCCTCATCGATTCACATCATGATACTACACAAACACGGTCGCATTCTACGATCGGTGAGTCGCATGCTACTTTGTCTTCCTCTAATCCCTAATCATCGTAGGACGAAATGTCCGAATCGATACGGGAGATTAGTTGTATATTTGCTTTTAGCGAGTACAGTGACCGTGGGTATTTTATATACCCGCGAGTAGTAACTTCAATTGTTTTATTATTTAAGTAAAGCTAGGGTCTTCTTGTGCTGCGCGTTTTTTGATATGATAAGTAAGCGCTTCATAGTATGATAACTGATTTTTAATTAAAAATATATTCAACATTTATAAAATGAATATTTTCATTAACATATGATACAAGATATACATGTTAATTATACAATAATTTTGATGATATGAATTAAATATGAAATTTATTTACATATAATTAACTGCATTATAAAATAATGATTCTATGTTGGAGAACCAGTTTACTATCTATACCTATTCTGAGTTACAGTACCCTTCCGTCAAATAGCGGAAGTCTGCAAAAAAATATTAGTCAGCGCAGCACGTTAACTAAGCCGCTCAAAGTACAATTTCGTGCAAAGTTCATCATTCCCCATCAATTTACCATAATATACATATACAGGGTGTTCGGCCACCCCAACAATTTTAATGGGAGACTTTAGAGGCCAAAATAAGACGAAAATCAAGAATACTAATTTGTTGATTGACGCTTCGTTAAAAAGTTATTAACATTTAGAGTTCCGCCTGTAGAACGGCAATCTGCGAATTTTTTTCTCGAAAGTACGTAGGATTTTGGGGGTATGTGTATTTACCAAAAATGATTGTAATTGACCCCCGCAACCAAAAATAATTTTTCCAGAACGATTTGAAATTTTTTAATTTTGTTGAAAAATTTAGGCACCTGTCGATTTTTCTTAAAAATTCGTTTTTCGTTTTTAATAATTTTGTTTGACACCTTACAGAAAAGTTGTCTAATACTTTTTTATAGGTACCCATGAGTTCTACTTCAGTAAAAAGTTTCGTTGAAATATATTCAATATTGTAAGAGTTATGGCTGTTTGAAAATTGGACCATTATTATGGAGTTTTTATTTTACGATGTCAGGGATTAACTTTTCGAATATTTTTGGATTTTCTACATATTCTTCACTAAAATACGCTTCGTTTGCATTTTAAAACATTAAAATCGTCCAATCCGTTCAGAAGTTATGATATTTAAAACATTTGCATGAAATTTCGAGGAACATATCTGGCCTGAAATTATATTTCCGGTAAGGAATTTTTTTCTCGAAAATGGTTAGGATTTCGTGGATATATGTATTGACTAAAAATGATTGTAATTCGCTCCTGCAATCTAAAATAATTTTTTTTAAACGATTTGAAATTTTTTAATTTCGCCGAATTTCAGGGGAATCATCATTCATGGTCAGACATTGTATTTTAGGTAAAGAATTTTTTTCTCGAAAGTGCGTAGGATTTCGGGGGTATGTGTATTTACCAAAAATGATTGTAATTGACCCCTGCAACCGAAAATAATTTTTCCAGAATGATTTGAAATTTTTTAATTTAATTTGTTAATAACTTTTTAACGAAGGCTCAATTAAGGAACTGATATTCTTGATTTTCGTCGTAGTTTGGCCTCTAGAATCTCCCATTAAAATTTTTCCCAGGGGTGGCCGAATGCGCTATATACATATAGGTCTTAAGCCATATGAACAGAAATAATTGGCGATCACGTAATTAAACAACGTAGACTCACGCTGATTCTCAGTACGAATTCGAATACGATCACTTTACTTCACTTCATGTCATTCGTTGTTAGCCTCGTTAGCACTCTAGTTATTGTAACCGAGTAGTATTAGAACGCACTGAGAAATATATTATACCTGTAATATGTATACCGACAGTCTCCGAGTTTCATACCCGGTTCCCAACATCTGATAATATTCTAGGTATAGAATATATATTATGGAGTATTAACGTATTTTATAAACAAGAAGACATTTCGCGATAGGTGGATTTTCGAGTCAAAGTAATATGCATTGTATGCTATTTTCATTTTTTGACAAATTTACTTCGACGACAGAATCGACCGAGGGTAGTTTAATATTTTAATTCATAATTAAAACAACAAATTTGCTTTAATGATTTATCTAAAATATTCAAAGTAAATTATTTTCTTTTAAAATCATAACTTAAGTATTTCCTTTTAAGTAATTAAATTACAATTATAATAATTTTCTTTAATAATAATATCTTTTATTATTAACGTATTTTCCTCTTGATATATTACGCGTAAAAAGTCGAGTCATTTTAACAAAGAACAAAAAAATACTATCTCGTTATTATTTACTAATCAGTCTTTCTAATTAAGGATTTTCAACATACTTTTTGAGGTGCTACTTACATAAGTGAAGGCAATGGGCACGATGATTTAGTTTGTAAAAATCGTTAATAATATATTTCATTAACGGCTGACCATATATGTGTGTGGTTAGGATGTGCGTCTTTTGAAAATTTATTATACTTTAAAAATAACATTATATTTCGTAATATTATATTTTTATGAAATCCAATAAGATTATCAAACTTTTACTTCTTATTTTTCGAATAACTATTGAATAGTTAATAATATTGGCTTCAGAATTTTACAATGAATTGACGCCGCTTTATCGAGATTAAATCCATCGCCAGTGTCACTGTGTTATAAATAATTATAAAAATATCATAAGCGAACCTGAATAAATTCAATAAGTTGATCGAACAGCGACGAAAAAAAATAAAGGGTTAATAATATAATTTATATAACCTTTATTCGTAGAAAAAGGCTTGAAAATGAGAAGACGTGTTTTGTTACGTAAAACAGGGCTTGCAGAGGCCAGCTCATTTTATTTAGGAAGTTTATACTTATGTTTTGTACACAAATATATACGTATATGTGTACTTAAAGCGCTGTATACAATCTTCAGAACATCGTTAAAATTTTTTCACATTCTCATTACGATTTCTCTAATTACTACACCGAGGTTACATTCGTACGGTAGTCTAAAATAAAATCTGCACTCGAAAATTCACTTTCTCTTTGTGGTGTTTG